AGCTATGGATTGACTACAGGTCAAAATTAGCAGCTAGAAAGGAGAAATCAACACCAACAATTAGTCTTATAAACAAAAGATGAGAACCAGCTGAGGCAGCGCTAACTTTGTCCTCCACAGACTGACAGGTATAGGGACCTAACAGTTAAAAGAAAGTAAGTTTTCAGACATCTTTAGTCTGCAGCTTGTCCTACATTTACGGCTTTTTCTAAAAATGCTTTAAAAAAAAAAAAATCTTCACAGGAAGTTGTGAAACAAATGTCAGGAGGCAAATCTCTCTTGTTTAAACGTTGTCACACTAAGCTGAAGCACACAAATCCTTGAAATAGCACATGACCCACAGCACCCCGTGTGCATTTGAAGACAGCAGTGATCTGGGGTCTGCGTGTGTTTGTATTCACTCTCAGCTCACTGTAGTGTGAGCGTGGCATCCAGAACATGCTGCAGAAGAACAGGCTAGGCACAGTGGAACAGAATAATACAATAATAATAGCTTGATTTTATTTGTCAAGGGATGGATAAAATCATATTCTCTTACTTATTGCTCATAACTGAATGTCTCAGAGCTTAGTTATGACACTGCCATGCCAGGCAGTGCCGAGTATTTCACCAGTGGTGGGCTAGAAAACAAGGAGCTGAGGATGTCAGTTTGGAAACAGAGCAGAAAAGAGAGCATTAAAAATTCAGCTCACTGCCTGCCCATTTGACTGATGCACAAAGCTCTGACGTAGCTTCTGATTCAGAAGCTGTGCCTGCTGTGCCACTCCCAATGTAAATTGCCTTTTACATACATGGATAGGCAGTCTAATCAAATAAGGATTTAAAGCAGGATGTGCTCAAAGGAACTGCTGACTTCTCTCAAAGCCTACCATTCCTCTCTCCAAGCTTTTGTAATTATTAAATAGTATGTGAGATTTATCAGAGGGAAAAGGTGAGTACAAATAGCAAAGTAACCAAATAATCTGCTCACCTACAGCATGCAAATTCTTTTCTCATATTTCTTGTGCCACTCTCCTATTCACGGGGCGTACTCCTGCTTGTAAGAAACGCCATTTAACACCAAGAACTACAGCAGCCACCAGGAGTGACCTGGTTTGTAGCACATTTGCTTCACTGTCCCTTGATGAATCAGTTGCAGCCAAAATGCCAAACGGTCTCCTATGCAAATGATCTGCTTATGCTTTCCACGCTTTGCCATAAGAGTCGTGGTCAGACAGACCTTCTTCTCCACAGCTCACACATGGATCCTTTTTCCCCTGCCCCAACGTGAACAAAAGACAGCCAGCAGTATTCTTCTTTACGCATCCAGAATTTGCTGCTATGGTATGTGCCTGTCACCCTAAATGGGACATTTGCACATCATACGCTTAGCAAAAAAAATCCTTGCTTCATCTAAGTGGGGCTTCCTACCATTCGAAGCACTGTGGGTCTTCCTATGCATCTATATACTCAGATCAAGGCAACTCTTTAAGCCAATGGACACCAAGTAGGGATGAACACCAGCAGATAAGGACTGTGACTCTCAAATTTTTCTGTAAATTCCTGCCACCATCTCTGCTGGAGTGCTGAAAATACCCTCAAGTTTAAAAAAGCTACTTTTAGTGTAGAAGCTGAATTTCCTATTTTGGATTTTGCACCCTAAAACTATGGCTGTAAATTTGCCTTTTGAGGCAAGAACTTCAAAGATATCCTGTGTTTTAAAGGAACTTCAAATGTCCAACTGCTGGATTGTGATTCATATGATGAAGCAGTAATTAAAAAATCTTCAGATTTTTAAAGAAAACATTCTTTATGCAGCTGCTATGCCCCAGGAATAACTCTAAGATTCTATTCCATATAACTCAAATTCATTGTCTAGCATAAAAACTTCCAAAATAACAGAAATTACAAGTGTGCACTTTATCTTCAAGGCACATATACCTTCCAGTGACAGAATGCCACCCATTTCTCACCGATGAAAATGGCAGTGAACTGTCAGAAAGACATAAGGGAAACTTTAATGTACTTCTCGTTTAGGTTCTAAAAAAAAATAAGTAAATCTCAAGACTTGAGATTCAAATTTGTCAACAGCCAATAAAGGAGAAACTGTGCAAAATAAGGCATATTCCTAGCAATGATAAAATCTAGTAAACCCCAGAACCTTATCAGGTATAAGAGGAATTAAACTCACAGCATAAATCCACAGGAAACTAGCATTTATTTTGCCGCTCACAGAACTACTTGTTCAATTTAGGGAAAAACTACCTTTATCAGAGCTGTGTTTTCTAAAGCAAAGGTCATTCATATCTCAAGGTGAAAACTTCACGAAGAACTCTGCAGTAAAACATGGAACTAAAAACAGAAAGTTCAATGAACAAAAAACCTAAACGGAAACATCAGCCATCTTAACTTGCATCCCAGCCTAAGAGAAGAACTCCTTAATGCCATTTATCATTCAGACACTCCGTGCGTGAGATGTTCTTACCTAGGTTATTTCTCAACTCTTACACTGACTCAGACTTTCTTCGTTAATCGTTCTAACACAAGGTATTTAATGAAACATTTGTATTTTCAGTGAGTTGTAGTATTTCTTGGGAATGTTACAAAGTGCAATTTTATTAGTATTTTACTTCTCCATAGATTCTGAAGCTGTAACAAACTTCATTTTTCATGGGTTTAGGAAGAGTACAGAGACTAAGAAATTCAATAATTTGAGAAAAAAATTTGAAACCAGGCAGATGAGGGTCTCTATAGACAGGAGCAGCTTCATGTTCACAAGCCCTGGTCCTCATGTGGGACTTCAATCACCCGGGCATCTGTTGGGAGGACAGCACAACAGGGTGCCAGCAATCCAGGAGATTCCTGGAATGAATTGATGACAGTTTCCTTCTCCAGGTGGTAGAGGAACCAACGAGAAGGACCTTGTCCTAATCAACAAGGAGGGGCTGGTGGATAATGTGAAGCTTAAGGGAAGCCTTGGCTGCAGCGACCATGAGATGCTAGAATTCAAGATCTTCATGGCAACAAGGAAAGTGTGCAGCAAGCTTGCCACCCTGGACTTCAAGAGAGCAGATTTTGACCTCTTCAGGCATCTGCTCACCATCTGAGTACCATGGGATGAAGCCCTGAAGGGAAGACAGGCCCAAGCAAGCTGGGCCATATTCAAGGACCACCTCCTCTGTGCCCAGGAGCAATGCATTCCAAAAAAGAGGAAGTCAGGCAAGAATGTTAGGAGGCCTGTGTGGATGAACAAGAAGCTCCTGGACACACGTAAAGATAAAAAGAGAATTTACAGGAAGTGGAAGAAAGGACAGGTAGACTGGGAAGAATTCAAGGAAATGGTCTGAGCGGCCAGGGACCAGGTTAGGAAAGCTAAAGCTCATCACGCAAAGTAGTGAAAAAGTACTCAAGAGGCTTTCTCTTTGAGATATCTTAGCTTCTCTCATCTTACTAGGAAACAATAACCTACTAAATCTAGGCTCTTTTTTCCCCCTAAAAATTAGTATTATATTTGAGATTAGGAGTCAGATTTTTGTGAACTGCTTAGCAGTTAACAGACTGCTACGCTCCCATGTGACTTCAAGGCCTCTGGAATTCCCATTCCATTTCAGTACTGAGGAGGGAGAAGAAAATTTAGAAAAACGTCCTCATCCACAAGCATTAATATCACCAAGATTACAAGAAATTGAACAAACTGAGCATCTCAAATACCTAACAGTATTGGCATCTCCTTTGCTACAGAAATAATATGCTTTACAGTGATTGATAACGTGTGTTTTTTCTCCCCCCTCCCCAAATGGCCTTCCACAGCTACAGACTGAGGCTGTTGATTGACATGGTGGAGGGTAATTACTAATCTAGCTATCTTTATGTCCTCCCAACCCCTTCTCCAGCTTCATGATCTCATCTCTAGCCCTTCTCAAGCTACTTCACAGGTAGGAGCACATCCACATCCCCTTCCAAACCTGTGCTTCTGGCAAATGAATCTACCAGTATTTCCTGTACATACCCTCACTGTGTCTTAAATGCATCCTAATCCTTACCTCAACGGGACACCTCCCTTCCTTGTGTTTTAAAGAAATCAATAATTTATTCAGTCAGCTGAGGCTGGTTATTTGTGAAATTAATCCATTAACTGCCATTTGGCAGAGTATTACATCTTGTGAAAAAAGCTGTTCCAAAGATAACAACCATTCCCACCCCTGGCCTGGGCATTCAACCATGTATTATTTTTCCTAAAGAAGCACGTTAGCAACGTGACATCCAGAGCTGTGGCTATATCTGAAATTAAGACAGGCTAAGTGAAATTGCCTTGCTGCAAGAGCAACACACAGCAGGCTCCAAGCGCTGCGACCAAGACCTCTCCGTCACAGCAATGCCACAGCCAGGAACCCAAACAGGAGGAAAGAGACCATTCTCTGCTGTGACACACTCAAGGAAGATGCAAATGTAGGGCTGTTGCTGCTTGATTGGTCCACAGCCCAGCCTGTGCACTACTAAAAATAGGAGAAGATATCCATTTGACCAAGTAACCAAGAACTAAATGAATGACCAGTAAGACACTGCCAGGCACCACTTACCAACTTCCAGTTTATACTTACACTTGTCTCAGATGCTTAGGTCTGCAACTAATTTTTTTAGCTGAAAGATTTCCAAAATGTCTACATCAGATAACATAAATACCTACTACACAAATTATTTATCCAAACCTAGGAAGGATTTGCTAAAGCTCATTGTCAATAGCTGCATCCCTATAGCATGGAGGCCTCAAATGTAAAGTAAGATATTTCAGGGAAGACATTTACAACAATATGATGATGTCAGTGCATGCATAATAGAGGATTTGTCTTCCAAGTACTCACTATAAGTTAATTTATAGTTTAAGAACATTGGCAAGTTTACTCTCCCATTTTTCAGCCGGGACAGTAGATCAGTAAAAGTGAGATGCTGTATTTTAGCTTTCGGTGGTTGTTTCTCATCACAGAAATATTTCCCTTTTACTACATTAACAGTTTGCATACCGACTTCATCCTGGATCTCCTCTGCCACAGCAGGTACATTGTAGAGGAAAGAGAGAGACTGGTTCATGCGTTCGTATATCACACGTAGATGTGTCATAACCTATGGAAATGAAAGTATTTTAACAAGGGGAATGCTACTGTTAATTTGATATTATCACGAATTTTAGAAGTTATGGAGAGGACCATGACAGTTTTCAATTGTGCTAGGTATATAAGATTTCAGTATATTCTATGTATTCTTATTGCAAAATTCACCTCTTCCCTCCAGTTGCTATGAAAATAGTGTTCTAGATGCTTCTCCATAGAAACTACCTGAAATCCCACAGGAATGCATGAAGTAGGGTTTTTCATTTGCGGGTAGAGCATGTATACAAGCAGCTACTATGACAGAAATTTACAGCCTCATTACCCTTCAGCAACATTTACATTTGCCCATATCCATAAGTTTTTACATAACACGCAAACAAAGTGAGCACAGTGACTGCTGCATCAAAATGCTTCAGCTGTTTCATTGTGTTTTTATTTTCATTATCCTAATATTGCAAAAAAGAAACATCTCTCTCTGGAAAGAAGCGTCATTTTTCTTGGTGAAAACATCTGCAAACGCTTTCATAATAATCATAATAATCCAGTGTTCTGGAAACTAAAAACCATCACTGCAGAAGACTGTTTCAAGTGTGGATTTCTAACTCTAGATAGATATCTAGATTTCAAGATAGCATGATCTCAATGCACAAGTCTGTCTGGAATAGATGTCTGAGAAGTCTAACACATAAATTGTTCCATTGAGGGAGGTATATGGTTTAGATGTGGCTTTTAGCAGTTCAAAAACTGGCCAGAACAGTACTTCCCACTGCATCCTGCAGAGAGAATGGTGTCAGGTTCTGCAGATTATGGTACGCTTTTTTTTACAGTTTATCCATTATGTCTACAATTTTAATTGCTGTTTTGAAAGCTAGCTACACCTTCAGCATATTTTTTTTTTGGTGCTTTCTCACCCTCTGTGATTTACAAAGGCAACATAAAACCTGTTCCAAAACATACACGTTGAGGACTGCAGTAACATTCAACAGTTAAGATGCCATGAACTACAGTGTCTATTTTAAAAGAACCTGTCAAACTGGAGTGCACCACAGTAATCATATTTAGACGCTATTAGTAGCTCTACGATAACTATAGAAAGGCTGATTGCAGTCAGACGGCTACACCACTTCTGGTTCTGCCACTTCAGCTGAGGGTAGCATAACCCGGTGTGGTTGCTAAATCTATTACTGACATTTTTCCAGAGGTATTATTTACCAAAGCACTAATAAAGGCTCTGGGTATTAACGGTCTGGAGGGCTCCGCAAGAAATGCCCACAACTGACTCAATGTCTGGATAGACAGATAACATGTTTTTCAGTTCTTCTCTTAAGACAAATTGTAGCCACCCTATTCCTATATCGCTTTGCCTTAATGTTCTAATGGAATGCAGATTATTTGTTACTGCATGTAAAGCTGTCCAGAGACAGCAGTCAGTTATTTTTCAGAAAAAAAAGGTTGATGGAAACTTCACAATGGTTATGAACAAACATGACCCCATTAACCCTCAGCGGGGATTACCTGAGATCTGATTTGGGCAGCTTTCTTTGGGTCGACCATGCGGACATGTTCGAAGTGTTTGAGAGTATGCTGTCTGTCTTTCTGCTCAGCACGCACGTACTTCTTCAGCATGTTGAACACGTGACGAGGCTGCAGAGAAGAAATAGGAAAAAAAAATCTCTTTAGAACAACACCATGTTTTAAGTTCCACGTGCTGAAGATATATCTGAAACCAAAAGCACTTGGCCAGCCAGTGCCTGCAGCTGTCTGCTGAAGGCAGGTCTCACTACTGTAAGGAAAATCCACTCACTCAATTCATTCAGCAGGGTTAAACAGTAGTTGTAGGTAATAGATAAGGTCCCTAGGGAGGGCGTTGAGATTTCCTTCTTGACCAAAAGTGGAAGTTTGGATGTTGCATTTTCTTGTCTAACTGCTATACTACTAGTCCAACAGGACAGCAAGTGCCACCTTAGAGTGTCAGTTAATGCACACCCAACATGAATTTCTTCTGGGCTTTGCTTCCATTCTCTCCATCCACTTCTCCTCTCCCTCAACTCAAGAAGCCCCCCTGATGCAAGCTCCCAGTTTCGCAACCTTAACCCCCACCAGGCAAATCCTTCCCAGAAGATTCCCCAAAACCTGGACTGCATCAGAAGCATTTCAGAGACGCCCCATATATGCTCTAGTATGCTGAACACTCAATCAGTATCAACATCTGTTAACTACAGTTAAACTTCACAACAAAAAAGATGGTACAATCACATAGAATCACAGAATGTCAGGGGTTGGAAGGGACCTTGAAAGATCATCTAGTCCAACCCCCTGTCGGAGCAGGATCACCTACAGTAGGTCACACAGGAACACGATCAGGCGGGTTTTGAAAGTCTCCAGAGAAGGAGACTCCACAACCTCCCTGGGCAGCCTGTGCCAGGGCTCTGTTGCCCTCACAGTGCAAAAGCTTTTCCTAATGTTCTTGTGGAGCCTCTTATGTTCCAGCTTGTATCCACCACTGAAACTGGTACATTTTATCAACAGTAAATTGAACGTACACATTCAGATTCAAATCAGAAAGTAACCTGTCCAAACATCTGTGCAGAAAACTATGCGAAAATACTACACTGTCTAAGCCAAGGAATAATCATCAGACTTGACTTAACAACTTAAAAAAAAAAAAAGCCACAAAAACCTCAAAATGCTCCTGTTATGTCACTACTGCTATTCCACCAGGGAGAAAAGAAAGAGGAGAGGGATCTGAGTTAGAGAAAGCATACATCCAGGATACACAATTGACTGAAAAGCCATAAGAGAAAAGGGCCACCTATTTGGTTCTTCTGGAGATCCTCAGCCTGGATGCCAGATTTTGTAAAAATCTTAGTCTATGTATACATTACAGGTGATTTTAATTAGTAAAACCTATTAAGTATCTGGCTTAAGCCGTATAATTGAATAGAAACAAAGGAAAAGTCTGTAGCTGAAGGGATCGTGAAAATATACACAGAGTGATGACAGGGCAGTGAAGACTAAGAAGGGCATATTCCTACGTACTCCTCTACGCTGTACAATAATACAGTGTTAAAACAGGCTAGTCTTCTCTAGCATTCAGCTAAAACATTTGTGCTTATGGTGGATTATGGAAATGTCCCCTGCCACCAACTCTTGTGCTGTTGTGCTTGCGCACCCTACCTGAGGCTGATGAGCAGTGAAAAGCCTGAAGCTGAGGCAGGTGAGAAGAAAGGGAAAGGTGACTTTCCTGCGCAGTAGGTTAAAGAATGAGCAGGAGTGGTGAACAGCTGGTCTGGGCACTGGCAGAGATACAGGGAAGAGGGTGGGAAGTGACAAAGTAAGCATCAGAGGCTCTGTGCACAGCTTTCCAAAGCAAGAAGAACCATGGGAGAAGCTGAAATTTTAAGGCGACTTATATTCATGGACAAATATAGAGCCTAAACTAATTTAACATTTACACAAGAGATGAATACTAAGCTACGGAGCTCAAAGATTTAAGAATCTCTTCAGCTTAAGAGAAGCAACAGATTTAAAAATGTCTGAGGAAAGTAAACCAAAGGTTATTTGAAGAAGATTTGTTGAACAGAAATAGAGAGATGTGAAGCCACTCCCTGCTAGAGGATTAAACTCAGTGGCTTCATGACTGAAAATTCATTCAGGGGGAAAATAACTCCAAGCCCTCAAAGCCAAGCACCCTGGGATGAAGTTGCAAGTAACTGTGGACAAATGCTGGAAAGTAAGTAATCCTCACACTATTGTGGTAATGGCCAAACAAACTGAAATGCCAACTGTAAAGCTTTTTAGGAACAAAGGCTAGACCAGAAAGTTTAACAAGAAAATTTTGAAGACAGATAATGTTCTTACCCTTCCTGACAATTCATCTTTCCTTGCCCTCAAGACAGATCAAGATAGCACGTTAGGGCAGACTAGAGAGAAAAGGATTAATTTCTATTCCTTCAAGAGATATTCCAATTTAAGTGTCATGTCTAACACCAAAAGGGCAGAGTTTTTGTTTTCCCTTAGTGTATTTGTTGTTACTACAATATGTCAATGAAACTTTTACATTAAGAGTCACACACTGACTTGTCAATATGATAACAGTCTTGAAAATACTTGCCAAATACCACCAACAGTAGTAGCCACTTGAGTAAACTGTCAGCCCAGTTTCAGTGCTTCTTCCAACACTGAGAACTGACTCAAACTTATAAAGGAGAAATGGATACGCATGCCTCTAGCACATCTGGTCAAGAAATCTCTCTGTAGCTGCAACAGAAAACCATAAATCAAGTTTACGACAATGTAGAAAGAATATTAAATGTAAGGTGTTTCCTTACTGAGGTAGAGACTTTCCTTTTTTTCAAGCAAAGAAAAAAAATCACAGTAGAAACTCACTGTATGTAAGCCTAGAGAGTCATCTCAGTGTTTTGTTTTTAAAACTAGTCACATGCATGTTTTAACCCTCATGGTAACTATTGATCTAGTGATCTCACATTGCCTAAAAGCTTGTAACATCACTCTAACAACAAGCTACTGCAAGCTAAGAAGTCCTTGTGAAACATTCAGTCACCTCATACAGATGCCCAAGGCTTTCCCAGTCAGCAAGACACCACGCTACACACAAGCTCCTAGGACAGACGCAGGCATCTGTGGAAACAGAAGGATTCCCTGAACATAACATCAAGACCTAAGATAACATGTGTACCCAGGCGCCCCTGAAGTAGAAGCTGAAATGGATTAGAAGTCTAAGCATATAGGCTTGCTATGGCCAAAAAATTCTCTGTTGAGACCTTTAGGAAACACACCCTGCCTCAACTGTAATACAGCAGGCCATTTCCACACTAAGCAAAAAACCCCAATAAGGTGGTGGAATCCCCTGAACATCTGATGCACACTAAACCAGCTCTGCTTCCTTGCTGGAAGTCCCAGTCACACTGGACCAGGCAAGACCTCCACCCTTCTCAACAACTTTCCAACGCTACCGCTGCGTGGCTTCAGGGCTGCGGCTGAAGGTGAAGCTGCCAGAGCTGATGACGGGAAACGACAGCTCTCCCTTGGGTTTTGCATACCCGTACCTGGTGGCTTCCATAAACGTGGACCACATTCTACAGTCGAATGGAACTTAGGACAGTAAAAAACAAACAAACAAACCCCCCATTGATCATTTTCTCCTCAATGCCTAGAATCTACTGCTTGCAGAGTTTTAACAAATTTCCACATCAGCAAAAGCACCTCACCCCAAGTCGCACTCTGTTGTATTTCATACACATTTTCTTTTAAATGTCATTATTGAGTGAACTGGTTCTGCTTAAAAAATCCCATCCATGCAGGCACATTTTGCAGAGCTACTTACATCAGGATTCACCTCCAAATCTAGGACATCGAGCAATGATATGAACTCTAGTGATGGTAGAGCAGAGAGGCTGCAATGAATGGTCAAGTACGGAGGTTATGGAAGGCTCCATATGCTGAGGAGATGCAGTCAGACCCCGTGTCTGAAGCTATTTTATCCATGGCCATCTATTACTTCAACCCTAGGCAGGAACCTTCAGAGTAAATTACAAATGAAAGTGGTGCTATTATCCACTAAATTAAGTTCCTGAGGTCTCAGCTCTGACACTGTCTATAGCAGAAGAACAAACAGCTGACACATCTCAGGGTCAGCTTGGCACCTTTTGCTCTTCATAAATAATATACCAACCACCAAACTTCATTAAAAAAAATCCCTGAATTTAGTACTTGAAGTTCTGCTGAGTCTTTTTCCAGGGAAAACAGTGTATTCACGTCTGTGGCAATCTTAATAAAAAACATCTCACAGAATAACAGCCACTGGGGGCTACCTAAGCCTCATGAAATAATTCCACTATTTTCAGGTACCTGTGCTTATTTTGCCAGCTTGTGTTTCGGTTGATTTATTTTTTTTTTTAACAGAGAAACAATACAAAAATCACACTAAAGCATTTCTGTGCATTTAAAATACAACTTCCTGACTCTGTGCTCTGGAACTTCCATGGGAAACTCTAAGATGACTTGTCAATTTGATCAAAATTCTCCCTAAATCAGAGAAGAAAGTTTCACAATACTATATTGTGCTATTTAATCTTGCCTTTAGAGGAAAATCAATCACCAGACCTTTATGATTTCTGCTCTTAAAATTTGTAACAATTGCTTCTTTTCATTCCCTTATTAGGAATATCTTGTATAACATTTTCAGGTATATATTTTACCTGCTACGTTATTAACTTGGGAGTTTGACGCAGATGTAGCAGTTCATTTGAGGGATATTCAAAAAAGCCTGTCTAGGATGAATGCAAGGCTTTTACTCACGGGTGAAACACAACCAAACCCCCATCCAGCTACCTCTCATGTGGAGTCAAAGATGCCTTCTCATAATTTCTGCTAATTTATGAGAAAACATCTTACCCCACACATCAAACATACCTGGCTATAAAACCTTTGCCTACCCTCCCCCAAGGACTTTTCCTTGGGCAGAATAAAATGAAAACAGTATTTGATTCTATCTCATATTTTCTTTTCATGATTTGAACTTATTCAACTTTGAAAAATTAAGACAAATTTTGTTTCTGCTCACTCTTTAAAACTCAGCATTTTAGATATAATGAACCTGCCAGGGTTTTATAGAACTTAATACCTATTTGGAATTGCCTCTTCTGTCTTACTTCAGTTGTACAAAAAAAACCTACCAGCCAGCCTAGGTGTATGACTATGCCATATGTTCAAGCCCACAGACTTGGGGAAAAACAAGACAGTCTGGTTTTATTCACATAAAAGCCTCAGAAGCTGCTGGAAAACAGAGTTAAGTGAGCATGTTTCTTGAAGACTGACTTGGTTTAAAATCAGAGCTGAAATGCATGCCATTTCACAAAATCCTATAAAATTAAGTGTACATGAGAAATTCCACGACTATAAATGTATGGGTTTGGAGGAGCAGAGCTGAAGGGTGGAGTATCAGAGCTGGACTGCTCTTTCCTACCGCACGGGAGGATTTTTATCACTAGATTAGCAGCAACGCATCGGCCTGCTGCCAGCTGAATATTTCCACAGCAACCTTGCTGGACTCAGGAAAGGCTTCGAGTTTCCTGAACTCAGAGGCACTGAGCAAGGGCCCCTCTGCAGATCCCTCTTCTACATTCAAGCAGCCAAACTCAACCAGTTTCAGCCCTCACTGTGCTCTGCCATATGAAGAGACACTGGTCTCATTGCACAAAAGGTACCAGAGCAAATTCTGAAGGCAACAAGAAAAAAAAAACATGGAAAAGAAAATCAAGTGGATTAATTAATGTACATGCTAGAGTCCACCTTACTGATCGTGCTCTGTTTAGCAATAATCTACATTTCAGTAGAACAGTGCCAAAACAGAAGAGAAGCATTTCAAACTGATTTTGGGGATTATATGCTCACTTTAATCCATGTGCAAAGTAAGGAGGTTAATTAATTATCTTTCAAAGTTTTCCTGTTTCCTTTTTCCAAAACCCTCTATTTTACCACTAGGAGCTGAATTTATTTGCTGCTTCTTTTTGCCCCCCGCCACTGGCTTCCCACAGAGAACGTGCCTCTCTTACCAACAAAGATTAAACAGGGAGACATAAATCCAGCAAAATTTGACATGCACGTGAAAGAGGGAATGTAGGCAAATTAGGGAATCAATCTGTTCACAGAGAATGATGGAGCTGAATTCCTGTATTTAACTTGCAAAATGAAGGGGAAAATGTCCAACTGTTTCAGAAACTGGAAGCATATTGGTTCCAGCTGCCACTAATCCTCCCTTTTTTGTAGTAAGGCCATCAAGCAGGATGAAACAATACAATATTTTGACAGTGGATACTTCACAGCTGCACCCCATTTTCAAAGGCAACAAAGTAGAGCAGCACAGTTAAGCTGCAACAGGAATCAGGGATGAGGATCAAATTTTAAGTTTCTGGGCAGCCTGCGTGACAGTGCTGCTGAGAAGAGAACAAATACTTGGTTTTGCTCAAATTTATTTTCTAGTAGACCCTGCAGCTATGCAATTTCATCTCTGTACACATCTTGCCTCCCTTGCTGCCCAGGCTGGTACCCTGGAGCACACCAATGAATTGCCATTGGGGAATCATCTGTACAACATCTGAAAAAATCCTCCAGTTGAAGTTTTTGCTCTGGTACTGAAGCTATTCATAAAGGATTCCCAGACTTCTGTAGTTTTAGCTAGAATGGCACTGAAAACAGCTCACTTTCTAGACATGCACAAGAACATCATGACGAACCTGCTGGCCCAGACCAAAGGTTCCCCTAGTCCCAGATCTTGTTATTCTACAAGGAAAGCCTCCTCCAAAGGAGCAAGTAAATGATGATACTTCTTGCAGCCTTCCAGCTTCGCCCTGTCCACAGCTCAGGGACTTTCCGAACTAGAGGAAGTTTCTCTTCAGATTCACTGAAGAGCCTACCCCTTGAACACAAGCACCACATAGTCTGAACACATACAGGAAACAGGAATTCCCAGTGGATCGGGATTCTGTTACTCAAGAAGAACCCTGCATCACATCCACAAGCATTCTGATGACACCAGGAGTGCCAGACTCACTGTACTATGAGAACCGCAGGCAAACACTGGTCATGGCTTTCTAGACCTCCAAGAGTAAAATGAAATCCTGCTGGTTTAAGTGGTCTGCCAGAAGTCTAAACCATCTTGGGAAATGTTTCAACTCAAGTACAAGGCAATACTGCCACATGATTAAAAAGCACATAGAAAGTACTCTTTGCACACACATCTCTACATGCACCCAACTTAAGGTAACCCTCTCAGCTCTGTGCGGAAGACATGCGCTTCAATAAAAGAGCCTAACTTATTTTTCAGTGTAAACCCAAATTCTGCCCTTCTAACTTCAGAGAGAGAGGCTGCACCACTTCCAATATTCGGAATCTACTTTTGTGGTAACCATACTAACAGCAAATCATGTATTTTGAAGCAAGCTGTGGACGGAGGTTCTTAAAAGTATTTTTTGAGAAATCCAGAAAAACCTCCCCTTTATAAGATTATTTAAGTTACCATTGAGGTTATGACTCTCCCAAGACAACAAAATTGCATCAAATGTACTTTTAGTTTACTAGGGAACTACCAGAGAGGAATGGAGCTAGAGTATCAGAGTTGACTTTTCCATTAATCCCATTTTGTCTTTCACTAGGCAGACAAAGTTTTGATTCACAGTGTTTTTAGCAGACTGGATTCATTCATTAAGCATTCAGCTATTATCAATCACTCCTCAGGTTTCACCCTCTACAAATAAAACCACCCACATCCTCCTGCTGACTTCGAGGGCAGTTTTTTCATGCGCTTTGGCAACACATACAACCAGCAGCTCAGAGGCACATGCCTGAACTGTCAGTAACTAAAGTGCACACAACCAAAAAATGCTGAGACAAGGATGGTACCATCAACAAGGCTGGGAAAGGAACTGTTTGAAGACATTATTCTTTAAACTGTTCACTTGCACTAGTTTTTGAGATGAGTGCCCCTTTTACAGCATCTTCCTCTGATGTCACCTCCATGCCTGCTGCCTGCTCGTTTCAGAATGATTAACTTTTGTAGGGACACAATACAGGATACACCTCTGTTTTTTAACAGTACCTACTTACTTATACTGGAATAATGTAACAGTGTTCTTTGACACAGTCTTTTAGGTCTGATGCTCTCCTACTGACACAGTAAAAGCATTATTAATTTAAATGTCCTGGGAGCTGACTACAAGCAATCCAAGCACAAAATGCAGGTTTTTCTGGTCCCAAAATCAGTGTGAACATTTTCGCCTCTTAGTGTTCTGCTACTTTCCAAAACCTCAGATACCTGCAGAATCAAGCTGTCAGCCTGATCCACATACCACTTGAAATCAAATAATTTTTTTCTGGAATATTTTTCAGACAGGATTACATTTGCATGCGGCTCAACTTCACAGCAACAGTTGACCGGCTAAAGTCAAATGTGAAATAGTACCTTAGGTGAACTACCCAAAACCATGCTGCAAGGGAAGCAAACAGGACGTGCAGCCAAGTCTATTCACTCACCTCATCTCAGTCTCAGTTCTGAGCCTGTGACACCATTTTCCTAAAGGAAGCTGCATCCCAGCCTGTAACTCGCTCATCGGTCCACTAATGGGACACTGAAGCCCAAGCCCTTCACCATTCTCACAACAGTCAGAGGTTACAATATGCAACACACAATCAGACCAAGCACCATCCTCTCTCAATTTATTACAGACTAGTGTAATTTTCACAAATTACTATGTTTCAAAATACAGATGGACTCTTCATACAGTTACTCTGAAGTCTCCCCATGACGCTTCCTACACAAACAAAAGATTTTTCTATTACTTGGCACGCAGTTAAAAAAACCTAAAAACAGAGCTTTGCACCATGGGCAGGAGAAAAAAAACCGATAAAGAATTAAGACAAAAACCACTTTTCCATGCTCACTGAATAGGCAGGTTTCTCTGCAAAAGAAAATTCACTTAACACATGTAACTTTACCAGGTTAGCCATACTGATGTAATTCCCTCTGAGGTTAAATTCAGGATCTAATGGCTATACCTTAATTGCTGACCCCAAAGTCTTTTAAGCAACATAATGTTTTTTCCATCTAAGAAGTATCCAAGAGGTGAGAGGTATATATTCCCACAGTGTTTGTGCAGATTCTCTTCTTCTGGTGGTCACAGACCAGTTATTCTGGTATTGAATACAACCATCACAGATCTGGAGTAATTAAAAATTCAATTCAATCCACATTCTGAACTTATGTGTTTGCACCCATCAACAGCCATCACATCTGATATAGCCAACTCTGAATTACTAGCATGCCATCTTCACGCCACCCAACAATCCTCACAAGATGCTTCACCAAACATTTCAACAGTTCAACAAACAAAACAGAAGATCACAACCACATTCATCCCTCAGCTCCATTTTGACATGATGACGTATCCTACTGTGTATAACTTGGAGGAATGCTTCACCATCCTTCTGCATGATCCGTGAAAGGCCAGAGCTTCTGACAACCAAATCAGTTCCACATTATTATCTTAAGTATCTTTATCTATGTATCTATCTGTAGGTATGCACACGTGTGTGTGTGTGCCTACACTTACACACACGAATTAAATTTTTAACTCTGAAACTAGCTGACTGCTGTAGTAGCTCTTGCATGGGGAACACACACCCACTGTTTCACAGCTGGACTGTACCTGGACACACCTTCTTTTTTCCCCAGGACGACCACAGTGATTTTGATACAGTTGACTGAGCTTGTGGTATTGCACTTACCCTGGGTGGGACAGTCTGCAGGGCTGTGATGTAGTTCTCCAGAGCAATGCGGCGACGGTCGTTCAGCATGGCTTCCACCCGTGCCATGTGAGTCTCTACCAGTTGTTGTCTTTCATTCGCTGCTTCTTGTTCCAGTGATTCCACTTTCTCCTGGAAATGCTGAAAAAAACATCCATCACAACAGGAACAGTGAAGGTATCAGCAGACACGAACACCTTCATCTGACAGTTACCAGAATCCTTCCCCATGTCAGTCTGGCTTGGCTTCCAGGAACTTCGCGTGGAACACAATTTTTACTGACTTCAGTGAGAACTGCTGATGTCCTGTATTCCTGAACACCTGGCCATATTTTATTAATCTAGTAAAATATTCCTGTGCTGTTCAGTACAACCACCAGCAAATCCTTCATTTGTTCCCTGAGGCAGTGGTTCAGTGCAGAAGAACTGTGCCTAGAAGAGGGTGGAATTTGGCAAGTGTTTGCTCCCTGTAATCATGAGTCATCAACAAGACCTCATGAGCAAATATAAACAGGGGGAAAAAAATTCCAACCTGAACAGATTCACTCTAATTTCTTATAAACTGGCTACCAGGAAGAAAAATTGAATCCAGACTTATTCCAAGAGAGGAAAAGATTGGCCGCATAAAACACACAGAGAGTAAAACTGTGGAGTCTAATGTGTGAAGCAATCTGGTTCTGAACATTACTTTTTTATATTTTTCCAATGAAATCATTCTGGCAGTACTGAGTAATACCCAACACTGCCACACTGGGATTCAAGGAATGTCTGGCTTGTCAGAATTTTTAAATTACAGTATAATTTTAGATAAAATCATTTTTGTCTGAGGGTTTCTTTCAGATAAAACTGTTAGCGAATCCTTCCTTAAACCACATTTTCCATCTCTGCTTTGAGCTTAGGTCCTGCAACTTATGTTAGTTCATCACAGCCTAAATTTTGAGCTGTGGGAGAGCAGAGCCCATGGGAAGCAAATTTTCTGTTCTCATTGAAGGCAAATCTAAATTCAAACAAAATTCTACCCCTTCATGCAGTCACTAGCAATGTCCTGCACTGGTGTTTCAGGGACTGGCCGCAGTGTACAGAGACACCCAGCAGCCACTAACAGCTGGAAATAGAAATAGCAAGAGTGGAGAACAACATTAAATCCCCACAGAAGTAGGGTTTAAAATTATATTAAACCCAGCACCCCTTGTATTTTCACTGCAGGCCCAGCTGGTAAGGCTGTGTTTGTGTTTTCCTTTACCTGGATGACAGCTTTCTTGTCGGCCTTCGGCAAGTTCTTTGCTTGGCGTTCTGCCTCTTCCCACTCTCTCATGACCTAACGAACAAAACAAGGAGCGTGACTTTTATATTTTCCTCTCTTGTCCCAGAGCTTAGCAACTGCCAAGCATTGCAGCTCCGACAGTCATCTTCATATATTCCTCTCCTCCTTTTATCTCTATTAAAAAAGCAGTTATAACACTTAACAAAGGTAGGATTCTGTTATTAAATTAAACAAAGACGATACTTCTGTGTCTGAACATCATGCCAAGCTCTCAGGACTCTGCCGTGAAGCAACACAGATGTTAACCAGCCCTCAGGCAAGAGAAGTGGAGGTCTCTGCGGGGGTGAACACACAAATCCCTTTTCATCTAGGACACAAAGGAAACTGTTTCCAGCTATTGTATGTCCTGGGTCCAAATGAGTGAATTTCAACTTGTTCCAAGTTACACTTTTTTAGGTATCACAAAAAATTTTAGATTTATTTGGACTACATTGCTGTCCTTTGAGTAGGAGAGAGCAAGAATTTTATGTAATATATGCTAGTCTGTCCAGAAATGCATGCCCAACACTTGCCACCTCCTCTGGAAATATAGGAGGGTATTTCAATAGTCAGGGAGTCAGTTACCCATAACTTGCTGTCCGTGACATCTGAAACCTCGTAGTCTTAGGGACTGTACTCATTTCACACCTAGACAGCAATCTCCTCAGATAACACACTTTATAAATGAACAATTGCTCTCACTGAATGCAGTGCACACAAATAAGTAACTTATTGATTTGCAGAACTAGAACGATGTCAGAAGACAGAAGGAACCTAGAAGCAATTATTCAAAATGTCCTTCCTTTCTCATCAAAAAATACATTTTCATACCACTTAATAGAAACAGTCAAACATACGCTTTCTGAAGGGGATTTTAGAAAAGCTCTGCATGTATGACTGAAATTATACTAAGACCAATACCAAAGGCAGGACAAAGTAGACTTGCAGTGAGTAGACTCATGTCTGCAAGTTGAGCCTCCACTGCTCAGCTCCTGCCTCAGACTACCCAGTTTTCCCACACATTGGACACGGCTATCAGGCTCATTGATGGAAAGACCAGAGCTCACCAGTGGTGCCTCAGGGTAGCTTGTTGAGGCTGTGCGTTTTAAAAAACCAAAACAGCACCAAACCTGGGCTCAAAGGAGACTTTTACAAGTGCCAGTCCTTGAAATGTAATCCTCTCTCAGTCCTATACAGGGTTGTAGACCCCAAACCAGCATGCAGACACCTGCACTCAAGACTGACTCAGCATATGGGATTTTGTTGTCAAGTTTTCATCTTCCTTTTTTGACCTAAAGCCTGGGAAGGTATTTCAAGATAGCAATAACTCAGTCACAGTAAAAACAGATCAACTCACTATCAGTGAAATTATTTATCTGTAAGAGATTCTGGCCTCAATAGCAGCACTAGATAGTGAAGACACATGTTTTGGGAAGCTAACGGGATGCTGAAAACTTGAGTGCAGGAGCATGGTTAGACAGCAGCTGTAGGCACAAAGACCTTAACTCAAATACCTATAAATCCCAATTGTAACTTCACTCTGCTCTTTTACTGAGAACTGTAAGCTGAAACATGAGCCCCAAGAATTGTACTGCAACCTAGGTAAACTGGCAGCCTAAACAGAAGTGTCTCTTCAATTTACATTATCTTCTCATCAGGCAAATACACATTGATGTGCAAATTGCAGTCAAGCTCTAGGGAGGTAGGAACACAAAATTTACACGGAGACACACGGAAATTAATTTGCAAGGGGCTGCAGTAAGCAGGTAACAACAGAGAACATGATGCTCATCGCACTGAAGTTACTGGTTGCCCCACCACCAGCTACCCTCCCAGTACTTTGACACAGGAGATTTTACTGCTTTTCTGACAGAGCAGAACTAGAGAACATGAACTAACATCACAGTTTAGAGCACTGTGATGTGTTCTGGAAAAAAAAACTTACTAATGCTCAGACTGCTGCTGTGTATTAAGCGTATGTTAGGTATTCATCTCTTAATTGTATGTTTAGGTCATATGATTTTGGTCACCAAGAAAATTAATTCATAGAATCATAGAGTATTTCCAGCTGGAAGAGACCTTCAAGATCATCGAGTCCAACCTTTGTCCTAGTCCTTTCAACACCACTAAACTGTGTCCCTCAGCACATCTACTCATCTCTTAAACACCTCCAGGGATGGTGACTCAATCACCTCTCTGGGCAGCCTGTTCCAATGTCTGATAACCCTCTCTGTAATGAACTTCTTCCCAATATCCAACTTGAAACTCCCCTGGTGCAACTTAAGGCCATTTCCCCTTGTGCTGTCATCCTCCACTAGGGAGAACAGACCAACCCCCACCCTGCTATAACCTCCTGTCAGGTAGTTGTAGAGAGTGAGAAGGTCTCCCCCTCACTCTCGTCTTCTCCAGGCTAAACAGCCCCAGATACCTCAGCTGTACCTCATACAACAAAAGATCCAAATCCTTTACTAGCTTGGTAGCCTCCCTCTGTACCGGGTCCAAAACTGGACACAGTACTCGAGGTACTTCATGTACACAGGCAGCACCTTCCTAGAGACCTGAAATGTCACCGGTGCAGGATATGAACATTACAAGAAGACGCAGAAATTATGGCATCACTTCAAGTCATAAACTACAATGATGTGCTCAAGATTGAGCACTGGCCTAGGTTAGCAATTTTAGGATTTTCTTCTCCCTCCTTTCCTTTTATGTCTTCAGATCACATCTCTGACATCTGGTTAATACTTTTTCACTCCGAATGAGGAGTTGATGGGTTTTCAGAACAAGAGTTCCCTTGCTACCTTTATCCCCCAAAACTAACCTTCTGCTAATTCATACGATGAAAACAAGCATTGTGGGTAATGTGATAAGGAGACCTTTGGCTAGACCAGGTCACTCTGCCTGTTTTACTTCTCTAAACCTTTTAAGGCATTGAAAGCAGGATGATAAACTGACAGCCTACACAGCTAGTTGGGAGGAATGCAAATTGCAGGCTTCAGCATTCAGCTCCAGTGCAACCAGAGTGAATGGCTCACTAAAAGAAAACAGAAGGATATGGCTGTTGGCAGAAACAATATTCAACATAAAGATTGCAGAAGTCATGCTTTGAGTGCTGATTTTTGCAACTGAGAAGACCTCAACGCTTCAAAGCATCTCTGTGTGTATGCTAACTGTAGATACAGCTGCCCTACAGCTATATATGGGCTGTCATGCTACCACCCAGAGAAAACTTGTGCTTTCACCCAAGGTCATCACTTTAGAGAATAACGAGTGACTAAGAAATATTCTGTAGCACTCTGCAGGACACCAAACAGCAAGAGCGGGGGGGGGGGGGGGGATATTTGATCACATGTGCAGAAAACGTCTGAACTTGGCCTCTGTGCACTTATAAACCTATTCTCCTTCATTGACAGCACTGAGCTATCAAAGCCACACAGATTTATGACTCATCAAAGCTTGGTGGCTTTGTGCAGGGAAAATGACAACTCCTGGTTGAGATTTAAGAGGCAAGCCATTTCAAAGTCAAACTTCTTCAGAGCTCAGGACTTAGTGCCTGGCAGACTCCTTTTGAAAGTGGGATGTAGGGGACAGCAATAGGAAGTATGAAAAAAGTCATTCATTATTAAGAAAGATGCTAAGTACAAAAATCTCATTATATTAAAACCAGCAGAATTTACTCTCAAGTTTTATACTAGGGCAAAGAAGTGTAGCTGTAAGAGAAGAATTTATGACAGACATTTGGGTTACACCAATCAGACCAGCAGAGGTGCTTGCGTGAAGGTTTGCTTAGTTAGAAGATCAAAGATGCCTACCTTTGTTAAAGGTTTTTGTTCCACACATAAGTCTTGAGCCTTTTTCTAGTGATAGCATCATCAAACCTTTCCAAGGAGCCCTGACTGTAACTGAGGGGGGTACTCCTACTAAGCTGACAGTTTTATGGAAGGAAAGAGCCCTCCCACACACAGTAACAGAGATGGTGGGATCTAGGAAACCAGCATTATTGAACACCTTGGTCAGCAACATGGACAGTGGGATTGAGCGCACCCTCAGCAAGCCTGCTGGTGACACCAAGCTGTGTGGTGCAGTCAACACGCTGGAGGGAAGGGATGCCACCCAGAGGGACCTGGACAGGTTTGAGTTCAACAAGGCCAAGCACAAGGGCCTGCACTTGCGTTGGGGGAATACCAGGCACAAACACAGGCTGGGCAATGAATGGGTTAAGAACAGTCCTGCAGAGAAGGACTTGGGGGTACTGGTGAATGAAAACCCAGATATGATGTGGAAATGTGTGCTCGCAGTCCAGAAAGTCAATCACACCCTGGGTTGCATCAAGAGGTGCATGGCCAGCAGGTCAAGGGAGGTGATTCCGCCCCTCGGCTCTCCTGAGAACCCACCTGGAGTGCTGTGTCCAGCTTTGGTTCCGGAGGGCCACAAAAACGATCAGAGGGCTGGAGCACCTCTCCTACAAGGACAGGCTGAGAGAGTTGGGTTTGTTCAGCCTGGAGAAGAGAAGGCTCTGGGGAGACCTTACAGCAGCCTTGCCGGTGCTCAAAGGGGGACTACAGGAAGGAAGGAGAGGGACTCTTGATAAGTGAGTGCAGCAACAGGACAAGGAGTAAATGGTTTCAAACCGAAATAAGATAGACTTAGATTAGATATTAAGAAGAAATTGTTTTCTGTGAGGGTGGTGAGACGTTGGCACAGGCTGCCCAGAGAAGCTGTGGATGCCTCATTCCTGGAAGTGTTCAAGGCTGGATGGGGCTTGGAGCAATCTGGTCTAGCGGGAGGTGTCCTTGCCCATGGGAGAGGGGTTGGAACTACATGATCTTTAAGGGTTACTTCAAACTCAAACTATTTATAGCGAAGTTGAAGACCTCTTAGGATGTTGGAACTAGTGGCACGCAATGATCCCAAAAAAATCTTGAACATAATACCAGCCCTGCTCAGGATCGTTGAGGACTGCAGTATTTTCAGATGCTTGCTTTGGAAATGAACTTCCAAGAAGACAAGGTATCATTAAGTTCCTATCATAAGTACCGTACATGTTATGATTCCTAAGTATTGTTAACAGCCAGAGAAAGACTAAATTTAAAATCTGAGGATGTCACACGATGTTTGAAGAGAGAAATGTATAAATACATTGCTCCCTTGAGTAAGGTTCAATATCTGGTTTCACCAGTCTATTTAGCAGCAGCTATTTAAGTGAGGCAGCTATACAGCAGTTAACAAACTGGAAAGAAAAAGGGGAAAAGTGGACTTGTACCAAAACAGGAAATAAGAACCATGGCATCCTGCAATCAGTTAGCATAATCTCTCCCCGTTATATGTCGGAGAACAGCAAACATTTAAAGGTTATGCATACATCACTGAATACTATCCTGTTTGCATCAGAAATGTAGCATTGCTGTTATTTGGACTTGCGTTAATAATTCTCATGAAAAGCTTAAAATGTATGCTAAAGTACCGCTCTTTACAGTATGGCCTAGGGAAGTTTCTAAGCTCTGGGTGCCATGCAAGCTGCAAAGGCAGAAAAGCCTTCATGGCCTGTAGTCTAAAGGGCTGGATGTTTAAGAATAGAAGGAATTATTAAAACAGTCTGAAACAGAGCTGCATCAGGACATTGCACCAAACAGCAGAGACTGCCTGTAAACCAACACAACCACCAGACAGAAGCTGAGCCTCTGCCTGTGTGAATATCTCTATGCAAGAGAAAAAAACCCGTGACTTGTTGGAATTTCATGGTAAACAGGGAAAGCTCAGAAATAGGCTATACAGAGTATCTGCATTTGCCCTGATTACATGTTTTGATTAAAATATTTAATTTATATTTAATTTACTAATGATAAATTTTTCTACTTCTTAGATGAACTAGAATGCATCTGATTTTTTTTTTATTAAACTGGCTGTTACAAAGTAAAGTGTGCATCAAATCAAGTACTGTTTTAAAACTAGCTGCTTCATTAAATAAAAGAACTGTACTTTGTGAACAAAGCATTTTCAGATTACAACACTTATCAAGATTGAAGAACAACTAGATCATTTTCCTAAACGCACTGATCATTTTCTCTCTTTTTAATAGAAGAAAAATGGAGGTTTCTGCTGCTTTATAAGCCCCCATTTCTCAGCTTTGAAGGAACCGGACTCTGAGAGGAAAAAAATAACATATATGTTAGATGCAGCTATGTTAGGACTTAGCTAGTGACTCTCACTTGCTAATTATTCTCATTATTTTTTAAGAGAAAAAGATTGACAGCAAAAACTTACTGAGTTCATTTATTCAGTACTGTCTTTAACATAAGTAACAGCTTCAAATTAATTTTTAGATAAATATGTATTTAAAATAGACATGATTTTAAAGAAAATGTAAAAAAGCAATTTTTAAATAGACAGAAAAGGAGGTCAGGGATACGGTACACAGACGTATCACACTTCATGTGAAGAACCACAGAATGGTTAATTAGCTGGTTTTTCTACTTCTTCATAAGATCTCGTATTTTTTAAACATCTGAAACATTAAGTAGGAGAGGCTAATTCAGTGCTATATAGAACATTAGTTACAGAAGGGAAAACTAATTTTTAAAAAAGTTAACTCTCTTCTTCAAAGCTCTGCATGAGTTCTGTGTTCTTTGAGACAAACGTACTTGAAGCTGTGATTTCATAAGCAGCTTAAGCGAACTGAAGATCAAAGATCTTTCTGTCTTGAAGTACCTATCGTGCTGCCATTTCTCAGGTCTCATTTAGCTTGCTGAACTGGTCAGAGTTGGTTATTTTACTTTTCTTTTTTTTTTTGGAAGAGTGACATTGCAGTGAGATGAGGGAACTGACCTGCCTCACCCCATAGCTGTATGCTCATTAGCACCGACAGACAGGATGGCTGGGAACATGCTAACGAGGGCAGAGCACGCGGCAGCACCAGCGTGATCTTCAGTCAAACCCTTGAACCACAGCCTTCATTTATGAGGGTGCCCCAAACGCAAAACGCGCAGGGCATTTACCCAGAAGTTTTCTGAGGCTACGGTTCAGTGCTTTTCCCAGTTAATTTTGTTGGTCTCGAGCACTGACACTGCAGATTCTCTCCGTAAGTCAATTTCTGGGTGCCCATGCATTTGATTAACATTTTTCCACAAACCATCAGCTCTGTAGAAAATAGAAAATACACGGCTCACCCAAATACTGCCCTTAATTACTCACCTTAGCCTTTACATATTGGAGACAAACCTGAAACCGCGCCAAGAATCTGAGGACTGTTCCAGGGAAACCTGGCTTTCCCGCTGACTGTCCTTTCCTTTCAGGACACTCACCCCTACACTGTATTTTTAGAAAAGGCAATAACAGGGTGATGACTGCATTACCTGCCAACTCTCTGTGTACCTAGCCCAGGACTCTCTCCTCTGCAGGGCAGGCGTTGCACACACCCCACACTCAGGAACATACCTCAGCCACAAGTTGTTTTAATCAAGTTTTTAATCTTCCAGAGGAAAGGAAAGAATAACATGTTAAAAAGCACTAAATTAACACTATTTTCACTGTTTAAGAAGGAGACAGCTTGTCTATGCTACAGCCCTTCCCTAGTGGAAGCAGATGAGGAGCACACACCTTCCTATCTATTAAATGTCATATTAATGGCATGTGGATTGCACTGGTCGGTGACTGCTTCAGGTAAGATGCTCCGCTCTGTTTATGAGCAAAGTCCCAGGCCTGGCTACGGTGCCAACAGGCAGGGACTTACTCTAAGAGCTTGATTTCAGGCCTTCTGAAACATTTTAGCACACACCTAAAGGTTAATGTGCCAGTAATACACGGAACAGCAAAAATGCAATAAAGTTACAACTAAAAATCATAGTAAAATAACTAGACAGACACTGGTGGTGCATCTGAATTACACCACATTCATTTTTTGTTGTTCTTTCATCCTAAAAATACGCACCACAGGCTTTCCTTTAAACCTCTTACACTTTTTCTTTGTTGTTGTTAGGAGCAGAACTGTAACAATTTTTTATTGGTATTGCTGTTATAAACCCTATTTCTGAGAGCATGGATGGCTCATCTAGCGTTTAGCAGGATTAAAGAGAATGTACAGTTTCGGGCTACATAAATCTTTTTGGTTAAAGGGAAAAAAAGAGTTGATTCAGTTGGATTTTTGTTCAGTTCAAAAGCACTAATTTTTCCTTTTTTCTTTGTCTTTAGATGTATTTCATGTTACCTTGAGGCTCAAGACCATTAGATGAGCATATGCGAGCTCATGCTACCCCAGGGCACAGCCAAATATGCCTACACACAGAGAAGGCTCGTCACAAGCAAGTTCCCCCTGTTGCTACAAAGGATGACTAATACAGTGGTCAAGTTCTTTACTTAAAAATAAGAATAATCTCACAAACTATTCTTCTGCAAAGATGAGAGAAATTTTTAACAGAACTTTCTTTCCTTTTTGCCCACACAAATAACTGCAGCAACTTACGATTGCAGCTGCAAACTGACCACAAATACACGTCTCAGCCAGATGAATTCTTAAAGAGTCAGAAAGGCAGCAAAAGGTGTACTTAACAAAATTGCAAATAGGTAAGGCAGCTGGCTGAAGCTGTGGGAAATCAGAAAATGCAAGACTCGGAGTATCTTATGACTTGACTGACGAAACTCCCTCCCATATTTAGAAACCAAGAAATCTCCCCTTACCTGAGACATCCTCTCACGATGCTTAGCTTCAAGTCTCTCCTTGGCTTTCTGGAAATGGGCATGTTCATTCTCATCTCCAGGTGTTTCCAAGTATTTGTCAACAGCATCAGGAGTGCTAGCAGCTGTGGTAGGGACTGTGGTAAAATTTTGGAGGTGGAGACACAGAAGGGAGGGGGGAAAAAAGCAGAATTTCTACTTTAGTACAGGTAAAACTGAGTTGGAACAAGCAAGAAATCTATTCCAATATTCATCAGAATAAATCCATACGTTTAACCTCAGAGCAAGATAGTAAAATATGTTTAGATGGACATATAAGGCAGACAGCAAATATATATAAATATACAAGGATTTCCCCCCTGCCTCATTTTCTAATCCAGGAGAAACTTGAGTGTGAACAGAGCAATGTTACTAAAACAGGTTAGAAATTGCTGCCAAAGGAAAAATTCCAAAGAAAAAAAAAGCCTGGCAATGACTAAAGTATATAAACCCATAGGAAAGCCCTTTGCAAAGTTACGTGCTTTGTATATTATTTTAGTTTTAAAAGGTAAGCTGCAGCACACAAGTGCCAATGCAAATACATTTTAAAGCACCTATAGCCTCTGCAGTGCCCTAACGAAATACCCCAAATCCTTCCCTTAGTAACAGTTTGGCCTCACAGACATTTACTCTATTTGTAACAACCTGAATTAAGAAAATCCCCTCATGGATGCAGGAAATAATCAGCAAGCATGCACTAATTGCCAGCCATTCCTGTCAGGTAACAAGGTGATACCTATCACACTGGGAGCAGAAAGATTTGCCTTTGGGGTAATTCAAGCAGAGTGAGCAACAGTTCCTTCACTACGCAGTAACATCCAACAACCTCCACTATAACTAGAGTAACATCTCTGTGCTAGGGTCATAACAACGATTTAAAAAGCTCTCCAGTGATGATCACTATTTCATTTCAACGGTACTGTCCCTAAATATTTTACTATATAATTAGTTTCATTTCCCTAGGCATGTTTCATTCCAACAATTGCAAAATTAGTTTAAAAATTCTGATCAAAAAACCCAAAGACCATTCACAGAGTTGTGTATGTTTGTCTTTTTTTTAAAATGAGTTTGACTACATGTACTATAGTTAATTTCATTCACAGAGGTAATACATATTACTAGATAGACTAGTACACATAGGGAAAAAGCCAGGAACCCTCTCACATCCAAACATTTCTCAATGTCTTTAACATTGAAGCAAACATTACTCTGAAGATCAGGCGGAGTAAGAAAGCCCAGTATTTATTTATGACTACCTTCCCCCAAACAAGTTGAAATATAAACAGTGGGAGAAAAACCCAGGACCCTCCCACACCCTAAACATTTCTCAATGTCTTCAACAGAAGCAAACTTGAACCTGAAGATCAGGCTGAGTAATTCAGCTGAAGATCAGGATATTATTTGTGACTACTTTCCCCAAATATAAACACATCTATCTTACATTATATCAAACAAAACACTTAGAAACACATTTTATTCCCACTGAAATACAACCTCCAATTTTAAGAAAAACTTAAATGAAATTCCATACTTCTGCTCCAATTTTACCTCGGGTTTATAACCTCAAAAGCAAAACAAAAAATCCCAAAATGAACAGGAAGTTTTTGGCTTTGGTTGCACTTGAGATAGCTCTCCACATTACCTGCAAGAGGCATCAATGGTTTTGGATGCTGTTGGTACAAATTGCACACTGCAGTTTTTAATTTACTCATTGCACCAAAAGAAAAGCCTTGCTCATCTCAGAACAATAAAATCTACAAGCAACCAAAAAAAATAAATATCCAACCTAGAAGTCACAGGCAGTGCAAATTATCACTCCTCCTACCATTTCTGGATTTGTTTCATCAATTTTGTAAACTTGTAAACTTGCTACTGCAGTACTGTAACAAACAGACAGGAACAAATAAGCTTTCCTACAAGTCACAAAAATTACAAAACCAGAATGTAACTCTTAATATTTTCACTGGCTACTCTTACAACTTCAGACAGTTTAGTCTCTAATACTGTTATAAAAGCATAAAAAATTGTTATCTTTTTCAATTCTTAATGATAACAACTCATCTTCCAGTGATAACGTGGTTTGTGCTGGGGTGCAGTGCTGTCTGCCAGAAAGGCTACAGCCACTGTAAGCAAATTCCAAAACCGAATCACCCAAACCTCGGACTGAGTAAAAACATTTCTGTAATGCTCAGAAGTATTTCTAAGTACCTTTGCCTTTTAATCTCTCAAGCACCAAATTAATTTAATCATTATCTTTCTTGAGGCTGCAGTCAAGTACAGTACACTTTAATTCCATTTAAAGGATGAAAAGAATCTTTTATTTCAAAGAAGGAAGACATTTAAGAGTGTCAGACCAAGCAAAGGCTGTCCCGTCCAGGCTCCTCTTTCCTGACAGGGAATTCACCAAACATTCCCAGGCAAGAGCAGCGAATACTCTTTTGCAATGTTTAACTAACCCTGCTGAATTTCCCTTCCATTAATTTTCTTTTTTTCCCCAGAAACTTGCATGAGATTTAACATTCACAACACAGCGTGGCAATGAGTTCTGTGGTTCAACTAGGCTTTCTGCAGAGAGGATTCTCCTCTGTCTACATCCTCGTCTGGCTGCCTCTGCAGGACATGCTGGGGAGATCGAGGGCGGGAGAGTTCTAGCACATTCGCTGCCCTTCTCCATGTTTTATAGATTTACCGTTTTTTAAACTGAACTTAAGTCTGTACAAACGTGAGTGGAAAGAAATTATGATCTAAATAACTGTCCAATAAATTATGCAAATTTAACCTTTAATTTATCGAACAGGAAGAAAGGTCACCAGCATTTGCACTGAGATCGGTTAAGCCACCTGTACAATCAAGGTCTGATTTTTAAAAGCTCCTGACTCACACATGTGGCCTTTACAGCCTGGATTTTTGGATAATACACTTACTTCCCACTGGGATGCTTGTTGGTGTGTTTCTGAGGAGGTAAGAGTAGTGGGTGCTGAGAATTGCAAAACTTGATTTCAGTGCCTGGCGCCAACGATGTCAGAGCACCGATCCCTCTCCAAGAGCTCTGCAGAACCAAATCAAACAGCGACTCGGCACTGAACACCAGCCCTGGGTGCCCAAGACAGCCAGGCTGTGCGCAGGAGCACAGGAAAGGACGCGGGCAGTACACCCACGTCCCATTACAGCTCGCTCTCTCGAGCTAACGCTAAACAGGATAATGTATTGCATGCTTTCTCATAATAAATAGGGAACATTTGGTCAGGCATCAGTTATATGTAAGAATTCTGCAGCCTGATCCCATTTTTTGATCACATCTGCTCATAAAAAGAGTTTTCATTTTCTATCCTTTGCTTGTTTCGTAAAGTAACTCAGGCCACTACTGCATGAAGACTGATCAAAAAGTGTGTGTTGACAGGTGGGGAAGAAACGTGGTATCAGATGACATTCTCTTCACATTTGCACTCATTCTACCTGTCAATTCCCAAACAGATTTTTAAAAAATTTGTACTAGACTTCAAAACCCTAAGCTTCCTGCAGACACAGTTTCAATAATAGAGCCAAATTACATTCTATACATTTTGCCACTTGATGCCAATCCTCAGAAAAACAGGTGAAAAAAGTCAAACAAGAAAAATGCAACAATATGCCCTAAGATCCTGTTTTGCTATTTCACATAATCTATATCAGCCTCTCCAGTGAAGGGAAGAACAGTCACTCACCAACCTCATATGAAATTGAAGAATTCGCAGATGCCCCTTATCGCAGATGCAGCTATTGCATATAAGATGGGAAATCATCTGAAATGAGAGTGCTACCCAACTACAAGGTAGCATTAAGAGGATGCATTCGTTATCTCTGAATTCCACACATTCACCTGCCTCATTAATGAAGGATTCAGATCAAAGCTTTCAGTTGTTGTCTAAGATCACAACTAATTATAGCACTTCTGACAATCACAAGCACGCATGGAATATCTTTAGTGAGAAGGGTTTCTATTATTGCTACTGCTACCTTGTGAAATGAGCTGTTTTTACAAGATAGAATCCCTATTCTTTTGTGAATAAGCTACTCTGCTTACAGCAGGCTGGCAAAACCCTGAAACAGAATCTAAACAACATGGGAGGAAAATGACAATTACTTTTTTACTACAAAACAGACAAATTACCAGCTGAATCATGAAATCCAAATGAAGGCTAGGAAAGGTTTATCTAAGATTGTAGTAAATTACCATTATTTTAAATGTAGGGTTGTACCAGGATGAGTTTTTACATAAGAATTTACTTCATGGGAGAAAAGTGTGTGCCAAACTCATATGCTTTCTGTAGAGATCAATACCTGGGCACAGAACAGTAAGTGCATTTACATATTATATATAAATTACAATCTACTGCATTATGGAGATAACCATTCTTATTCTTAGCACTGTAAGCTGGAGGACCAGTAGGCAAAGTGCCACTCCTTTTCACTTTTAATTGCTTTCTCTTCATACACGCTTTCACCAAGAACACTTTCTGAACCCTGTGTAAAACTAATGACAACAGGAGTCCCCCCTGCAGTCAACAGCACAAAGGAGACCTTGTGAGGATGAAAACCCAACAACGTCCCCAGACTTCATATTTTACCTGTAAGCAGGCACGTTGTTGCTGCTGGTTTCTTTTCAGGGTTTTGGGAGGGAAAGATAGCACTTCTGTGCTCTGAGGGTTGGCATCGCCCCTGGACTGGCAGGAGTTGTGTGAGCCAGATCTTTTGCCTCACGGCTCATTAGCACCTCTCCCTGTCAGGGAGCCAACCGCAGGGCAGCGAAGAGTTCTGATCACGAACGCAGTGCTCCTGTCCTTCAGGCCACTCAACTACAGCTGCCCACTTTTCAATTTTCAGCCCAGACGCTCAATTATGCAAACTCCCATTAGGTTATTCATTGGTGTTAAGCGCTCATCCATTTCAACTACACATTTATCACTCGGTCTCATCACCCAATTCTTCAGCAGGGTTTTATTTACCTTGTGCATTCGCTCTATCCTCATGTTTTGACCATACCTTTAAGACAACCAAAAAGTCTTTGAAAGTAAAATGTTCTTCATAAAACCTGAGGAATTCTGCCTACAATTGCAGG